TGTCGGAAGCATGTATATTTGAATATATATGATTGAATCAACAATTCATTTGTTTTTTTTCACAGTCACGTTGAAATTTGTTTTTTTTATTCAATAATTTCTTATGACGTTTATGGCCTTTGGTATCATCCTAAAGGGAAAACATTTTTGTGACTAGTGATTATTTTTAGAGACACTCCCAATTAAAATACATGTGTAGGATGAATGCAGCAGACCAAAAAAGAGAGTCTATAATTGAGATGCATCTTGCATTACCTAAAACGACTTCAATGAATGATTTTAAATAACCATGTTTTGAAAACATTTAATCATTGTGCAATGGGGCATTTTGTCGTTTGTCTAGCGCCAGACTAAACGCCTACGATTGTAGATAAGTTATACCAAAGAACGGAAATATCAGAATACGAAGTTAATTGTCACATTTGCAGACTAAAACATCACTTGATTAAGAATAAGAAAAACTCATGTGCATCGCTAACCAATGTATTTGTTAGATAATTGTAAACAACATTTATTACGTTTAGTATCCATTTTTTCTGAACCACTTTTACTCGGATTGTGTGTTAATCGTACTTCTTTAACATCTTTCCATAAATAAGTCAAATAATGTGTTGTCTTTGACATAGTTTTCAAAATTATAAAAATCCTATACAGCAATATTTCTAACCTCATGTATATGTTCCGCAGCACTGTAAAGAAATTTTTTCCTAAGTTTTATATATTGTGAACATTTTTTCACAGAAAGTCAATATCAATTACGTACAAATCATAATTATATATATTAAGGCTTTTTATTGTATATGTACTGCTTAATTCATGGTTCCGAAACTGGACTCTTTGGTCATACAACAAAACTACGTTTGTTGTTATTGTTTTGGTTTTTGATATTGTTTTGATCGTCACTCAAGCTTTAATGATGAAGAGAAAATACCGGTGTTATAGCAAATTATTTCACATTCAACATTATTGCCTTACTTTCATGCTGCTTAAAATCAGTTTTTTAAACATTTAAAATACATGATCCATTGATATCCATTATTGTACCCTTTATTGTTACTTTGCGCGACTGGCTTTTACTGCTAGGATCAAACTATGAACATACAATTATCACAACATATTAAATCATGCCTTGTTATCACTCAATCAAATTATTTGTTAAACAACTGGTGACCGAATGGCACTCTAAGCATGTTAAGCAATGATTAAATAACATAATTTCTGCGTCTAACAACATATATTTAAACGTTTCGGGACAATGTCAAGCAAACTTCGATGTATATAATTATAATTGAAATGCAAGACCAGTCATTATGCCTCTTAAAATAATTTGAAAATTGTCTATTTAAAGAACTTGGCTTTTTGTGGCATCTTTGTCTCCATACTCACACTTGTTTTGAATCACTTATTATTCAAATTTGCTAGGTACAACAAGAATGACACAAGAAGAACACCCAACAAACACCCGGAGAGGCACAAAGGAAGAAGCATGGCGGGGACGTATGGCATAAGTTAACAGATACATGTAATGTAGTTTATTATTGTTTTGAAGGAAATTATTGTGAAATTTCTTTAAGCAAAGATATCTTGAGCTATTAAAATATACCATGTATATATATATTGTGAAGACCAAAAAATATTTATTATAAATTAAGTAATCCTAAAATGCTTACAAGGCCGGGTTTCCAAACTTAAAGTAAACCTTGCTTTTTAGTTATATTTTTCATGAAATCATATTTATAAGCTAATTTCTTTTGGTGCTTGTAAAAATTGGAGTATTCTCATTCATTGATAATGTTTTGTAAATTGGCTGGTGCACTTTCGTGTATTCTTAATAATCACTGAATGCAGACCGACATGTTGTTCCAATATTGTCATTTCTTACTTATCTTTACTTTCGTATCGGTTGACTACAGTCCATCAACCAAACCGAACCTGCGATATTTTCAATTTATTCTGCTACTTGCTTATCAGCTGGATAAAGCCTTGCCAGATAAACTTATCTATCTCTAATCATTACATCAAATGGTTAGCCTATGATGTCGCCACATGGTTAGCAGCAAAACAAAATTACATATATACGCTTTTTATTTGTTTTATCTGGGAAAAAGTAACAGCTAAAGCTCGCCAAGATACACTTTCTTGTAGACCGGATAAACCTTCATCATTCCGGAAACAATCATGTATTCTCTATTTTTTGTTTTGCACCCTCTTAAGAGATTCTGTATATATTCCATTTCATTTGATATTTCCAGTGAATGGAATACGTTGTGAATTTAGAATGATATTTTGAAATCAGTGATCTAAAATCATCAAATATTGCAACAATTTGATCCTTTGCTAATTGTGGTATGTTTCAGATTAATTAACTTCTCTCATTACAATTTGCATGCGCACTTTAATAATTGTATTAAAGATCAAAGATAAAGGGTATCGTTAATTGTCACTGACCTCTCAAATAAAATATTGAAAATGAAACTATTAATGACCGACACAAGAGGTAAGCATATAATGTTACTTTCATTGCGTCCATTTTTCGGCTGCATTGGTTAATCCAAAACAATGGCCCAAACTCTTTTACAGGTATAAAAAGAATATTTTAACAAGAAACCTTTTACAGGTTTAAAAAGAATATTTTAACAAGAAAATTTCTTTTATTCACACCAACACAGTTAATGTCATACAGCTTCACTGGTGTAAGAAGACGCCCCGCCGTGCATTATTTTCAGTGACGAGCGGGCACCTATGAAGAATTTGTGAATAAAGGATGAAACTCTTCAGAATTAACGAATACATTACGCACAACATCAGATGTAATAAGTTGCTCCTTACTTCATTTCTGTGTCGTTATTTATTTTCCGTAGATTCCAGCATAATTAATGCTGAATATTGATAAGTCCATATATAGGGGCGTAAGAGATTGCACATCAACATTATATCTCTCATGAATAGACTCTTTTAAACTAAGGCTGCAATTTTCATATATTTTTGCTGGTTTCCATGCTATGATTTATCTGCCCTATATCAGAACCTTTAAAGTTATGATTTGCTCGAAAGTCTAAAAAAAGCTCTGGTTACATGGAGCCGGGCATTGTGATGCTTAGAGATTTGGTTGTGCTGTTGAAAACTTTGGACTGAATTACATCCACATAAATTCCCATATATCGCAATAGTAACTTTACCCTCTTCGATATCCCTCCCTAGGTCATAACAGCCCTTCCATTAACCTATCCATTTCAGCCAAAATGATTTTCTGGTACGATGACAAACATTTGGACGAAACAGAATTATCAGGAGTCTCTTCATTGAAAATCACCAGTCACTGTCAATGCATTTGTGACAATCTTGGAGCATGTTCCGTTAACAGAGCTAAACGCAAATGCAGAACAAAAAAGCAAACAAATGTAATAACGGCCGTAAGGTGACGACTACAAATAAGGGCAAGACCATAAACCTTTCTTGACGTGGCATCTTTACCCGCGGGCGTCAAACACGATCCAGGACACTCAGAAATTGTTTAAGTTCCCTCAGCCTGACATGTCATTTCATGATGGACATTATCACACCGAATTACCTAACAACAAGTTCTTTTCAATAGCAATGTTATAGCTAGCATGACCCCTCTGCACTGTGGTCACCCGTGTCATGACAGTAAATAGTTAGATTTCACTTTGAATAGTGGAACGTGATTTATAATTTTATATGTCTCTAGAGCTATGGGTGATATTACAATATAGTTGAATAAAGCTTCTTTACACTTTCTTAATAAATCACGTTAATTCACTCAGCTGAGCAAATTTAGATTCCACATTAATTACACGGTGACCTTGAAATTTGTATTATCGTTTTACATCATTTAAGGCAAAAACATGTAATAATGGTAATGCAAATTTGTGCTCTGCTTTTCATTTTTTGCTTAACAGATCGAGAGCAAATAAAATGATATCAAAACGGCAACATCATTGGTCTGTTATTATTTGTTTGTTTGTTATTTGACATTATTGTTGTACTTGTGGTATTTTAGTTCTATCTATTCGGCATCTTTTTTGTTGGGTGGTTCCAGTATTCCTCACTTGAATACTGTTGAATCACCCTTAGGATATGAGGCCTGCTATTTAAATTTGTCTTTTGACATTATATCTGTGATATGCAGGCTTCATAACCTCAGATCCCCTTTCAAAATTCTATTTTATTTAGTTCCGCCCATTGTTTTCTCGTTTAGGGCACACGCATTTTTTTACTTGGGGACCATATGCCGCTTTTCATGGAATGGCACTAACGTGTCACATTGAATGTTCCATGATAACCGCCATATCAACACATCTGCGGATGTTTCAAAATTATAAATTTTATGTTCGTGTTAAATGTTGAATTCTGCTTAAGCCGGTGCTAGGGGGCGTGGACGGTAGTTTGCACTTTCTAGTACCGTCCATGAACAGGCTCAATCAAACAGAGCTTGCAACATTTTCAATTTTGCCGCGTTGGGCTTTCTTAAGAGATTCTTATTTCACTCTATTTGATTGAGCATATTCACATACAGTTGTGGAAAATGCAAGCTATTGCCTACGGTCCTAGCAACGGCGTAATTAGCACTATGTTTACTATTTTTACATGACAATAGGGAAGTATTGAATTTAGATGCATTGGCATTCTATATCCATATATTGAACATGCATAACCTCTTGCTTTTCTTAAACCTCCCGATATTTACAACATGAACTGAAAGTTCACATTTAATTGGTGGTTAAATGATTTCTAATAACAAAACACAACATGTTTATAGCCAAAAATCAGATTTTATATTGTTTAATATCATCGAATGTGTCATATAATATAAAATGATAAACTGCTTTAGCCATTGCTAGGAGCATGAGAGATTTAGAACATTCATATTCATTTTCTGTTATGAACAGACCCATTCACTGTTGTTTTGATTGTTACCAATGGATTAACCCTTGTCCAGTATTATTTTACAGATATGGTAAATGATTCGAAACAACACATTTATATTGCCAAAAATCAGATTTTATTTTGTTTCATATATTTAAGATGTTACATATATTACATGATATAGATGGTAAAGAAAATAATGTTAGCAATTTTTCAAAACAAAAACACCTCTTTACACTGATTGTAAATGTCACATTTAATTTTTAAACAAGATTTCAGCTAACATAAAATGTCATTTTTCTTGATTGTGTCTAATACATTGCACAAAATGTCACGAAATTTCAAAAAAACAAAAGTGGCGATCTTCATTTGTTCAGTTTGTATTATATTTCAAATTACCAATGATGTCATATAAACAGCTATTTGAAATGTGATTGTTGTTATATTTTGGTCTGTCATTTTCTATTTACCTTGCAGCACTCTGCTTCCAAAGTATAGTACTGACTTCTTTGAAGATGAGTTGACAGAACTGTATAGAGAATACAGACTATCTAAATCAAATTTTGATAAGTAAATGTATCTTCTTTGAATAAAAATAACTTGATAGAAAGGAGCGCAAGACATAAAAAAGATTTATGTTAAGTACTGTCTGTTTTGTTCGCTTCCATGAAATTTAAGTTAAATGTATGTTATTTATAGAACGTTGCTGTGCATTTCTTTAAATAGTATTCATTCTATTAACCCGCGACAAAGCCTCTCATTTATCTAATTATAAGGATGTCTGACCACAATAACATGATGAACTAAAGTTTTTTAATTTTCGACATTGCCAAATTAAACAGCATGTTTCAAATACGCCTTTATGATTTAGTCAATTTTACATATGTTCTTACATTCGTCATTAACTGATGCAAGATCATTTTTTCAATCAATTTCAAAATGTCATAAAATATTTTTTTAATTAATGAAACTAATCAGAATCCCGAATATCAAGTATTTGAATGCCATTTTGAAACATTGACACGTACAGAGAAAGAAAACGTGTCAACATTTATGTTACTTTATAAAAACTTAATAAGTTTTTAATAATAGAATATACAAAAAAAGATAATTTATTCAAACCTATAAAATATAAATTTCCTGATATTATTACGTATTAAAGAGAAAGATATTTTTGAGATAACAGTATTATAAATGAATAATTTATTTCAATTTCTATGGTTGAATAACAAGCGTTTATTTGGAAGTAGAAATAGTTTGAGGAGAAGTATTCAAACTTTATAGGGTCATGCAGCTATGCATAAAAAATTAAAAATAAAACTTAACAAAATACATTATACCGGACTACTTGGAATAACTAAACATACACATAATATAGGACAATTACATCTTAAAACTAAAGAGAACGAAACGCTTTAAATACAAACTTAACAACTATATACAGTAAACAATAGTGACGTCCGATTGTGAAGACAGGTCAAGGCCATGAACATTTTCAACAAAATGTAACAACAGTGCATTCATAATAGGGAATAAAAGTAACTTAAGTTTATATAGTTCTACTACGGCTGCATATGTATATTTTTTGTTATAAATGGACGGGTTCTATAATACCGCTTCATAATTTAAATTATCAATTAAAAACATATTTTGTGTAATCTCCAATATTAAGCATCAATTTTCATCAATTTCCCAAAGGAGAAATTAGATTGATTTTAAATATTTGAAATTCTTTAGCACGTTCTTGCAATGCTTATATAGGATTTATGTGCTTGAACATTTGAAAAAATATTTTATATTCCTCATTATGAAACCACTATCTTTCTTTATTTACATTTGTGTTTTTCTCTGAAAGAAAAAAAAGAAAAATGGACCTATTTACAGTAACTTAAACAAAAAGTTATATTCCTTGATATGGGCTATTCAAGTCCATTGTAAATGTTTCGGTTGATGTTAATCCCCATTGCGCATGCGCCATTCTACAATCTTGTACAGAGGTGTTTCCATAAGCTTTTGTATTTTTCTTGTTGGACTTTGTCGTTTTCGTCTGCCTGAAAAAGCGACAAAAAGTGAATTAATTATTAGATCTATACCTAAACAGAAAATATCAAATTAATCATGAAAACTTTCATTTCAGTTTTATTTTATTTTCCTATATTTTTTCTAATTAATTTCAATTAACTATTATGACATATATCTGCAAAGTAATTTCCATACATATATTCATAATATATTTTGAAGTTTATTATCATGAAGGTCTGTTTTGACAATTATTTTGTAACTTGCGAGATGTAGTATTATTGATAAACATACATACACATATTTTTAAATATGGCGGCAAATGGACATTTTGATAAATGTTTCAAGCAACATATGTTTTGTTTCGTGTGTTTTGACGGTAATTGTTTTAATTAAATTATAACAAACATATGTATCTATCTGTATATTTTTTATTAAAAACTTACACATTATTAGTCTAAAAACCTTTAAAACGCAAAAAGACATTCCTGCATTGACTATAAAACTTTTAAATAAATATGTTAATTAGAATACTTAATTAAACAACTTTAAGCTCTAAAATAATCAAAGACTAAATGTTTGAATGACCTTCAATCACGTTTGTGTTGTATTTAACAAAGACAAAAACTTTGCATTCCAAATGCAGTTAAAACGTCATTGACATAGCGAAAGACAGAGAGTCGCAATCAAGAACTATTGATCAAAGACATGATGTTTTATGCATTCATGAATCTAATAAATTAAATTGTGGAATCATTTGGAATACTTCTAATTAGAGACTACTGCTCATTTAATTGAAAGGTCAAATCAGATGGTACTCTAACTAATCATCCTATGTAAGTTAATGAAGTACAGTACGTCACTGTGGAAATGTTTTGGCTCTGTTCTCACATAATGAGAAGGTTTGATGTAGGAAATTGACATTGACATTATTTTTGTACTCATAAGACAATTCACGGTTTGTATCGATATGACTGCATACCTAAATAAACGACCAAACATCCTGCTGTACGGGATGCCGAAATGAATTTCAATACTTGTCAATATGTTTCGCTAATACATCGCTTGAATAGATGCAATTATATGTCATTTGTTTTACGATATATATTCTACATGTATTGAGTTATACTGACAGGAAAGGTACCCGCTGCAACGCAAATCTTTAGCCCGCTGGAAGCATTGGCATTTACCTATTCGATAAATACAGACCAAGATCAGGCAGTACATCGGTGCATCCTGGTCATGATCTACATTGGTCGATGCTCGTCATGAGAGTCAATAAACCATGACTCGTATTAAACAATACTTTCGTTAAAGAGACCGACTTAAATGTAAGACATGCATTTTCAGAATGGCAAAAAAATTAATCGTCGTCTATTGTGAACAATATGCGGGAGTTAAAATATTTAAAATACTAGTAAGCTAAAGCTTGAAGGAAATGTTCAAGTTTCACTTTTTTTATCCTATTTGTATAAATAATTTGAATTGGTACATTTCTTAGATAGGTGATTCTGACATCTTTTACAACTTATCTCATTAGAAAAAACATTACACAAACTGTGTTTCATTTCACTCAGGGAGAAAATTGTCATAAAAGTAAAACATGCAATTCAGAACAGTAAAAAGTTCGAATGCAGAAAAGAAAATTTACTGTTGACCATAAGCATCAAGTATAAGAAAAGTGTGCATGAAATATCACAAGCTATAGATACCTATATGATCGGAGAGAATTTGAAATCGTTATCTACATGAGTATAAATATGCATGTGCATTATTGAGAAAACAAGTGTAAATTTGTCAGATATATTTGTTGTAGAAATATATACAGAAAAAAAGATTGGTTAAATATAGGAGATACTCATTTAAATGGTAAAACTGATATTAAGTATTCTGAAACAGTGGTAGGTTCTCAATTTTATTATGTTTGTTAACCCTTTGATCTCTAAATTTTGATCATGTACATTTTTTCTGAGGTGAAACGTTCTAAATGTAATCATATTAATTTATCATTCTATTCTTGTGGTAAGATATCGATCAAAAAGTTTCTTACATGCATATAAACGACACAACATTATACATCAATTCCGCGCACCTTATTGGCGTTATAGAATTCTTGTATAGATCGTTTCATTCGAAATTGTAGAAAGCTCGCATTTTTCCAAGTATACATTGTGTAACTTACTAAGTTAAGCCATGGGAATGAATGTCATAATTTTTGTGCATTGCAAACGCCGAAAGAGAAAGGTTATTTGATGAAATGAAAACAATATAAATGACAAGGGTTTGCAATATTCCATCTGAATGTGTCGCTTGATTGCAAAAGCCGCATTACAATTTTGGAGCTGTATTGGTGTGATGCAATGATTATTAATGACTAGAAAATAGAAAGAGAACTGAATGTAAAATGAAACTTTTTATGACTTTTGCTTTCTTAAATGCAGTGGTACCAGACGTCAATCATTGTCAATTTATCAACAACTATGTTCTTACAAAACACCTGCTTGTCTTTATAACGTTAAAATGTACACCATTTTTCAATTCCAGTACACATTCCTTACATTAATGCACAAAAATGTCTTACAGAGACATATTATATTAGATTATAATTTTTGATCGTAATTCCAACTATATATCATGAATCATTTATCATTTGGACTATGATTTTCATACCTGAAAATTATGCTTTAATCTCTATTCATAAAATTAATAATGATAATTATATGAATTTTAAAGACAAAAAGAAATGTATGCAAACACATTAACGTACTTTTGTACCAAAGGTGAAATAGCAATTAAAATAGCAAGTAAGCAATAGCATCCATTGCTAGCTCTACTTTTTTCTTTTTTTTAGGTCCTTCTGCTACACGAATTGTAAAGTTATAATCATAATGTAAGCCTAATGACAGTCGTTACTGCTATGATAAACATGTAAAATGCATTACATTGAACGTTTCTTTACTTTTACATATCAGTACAATGATTTATACATATGTATTTAGGTCAGAATATATCTTTTGTGATCATATAAACAAATTTAAAGGAAAAACTTGCTTTTATCCAATAAATGAGTATAGAGAATATGTCCATGCATAAAAAATATCTAAAGAATATTGGAATTAGATGGAAATGTTCGAAACATTAGACATGCAAAAAAATAACATTTTAGAAGTAAGTTATTTGCTAGATAATATTAATAATATAAGTAATATTTGTAGTTAAGTAATTTTTGGAACTCAATTATTAGTAGAAAATGTGTAACAATGTGTTTCAGAGATACACAATATAAGTAGTTCTGTTATATATCTAATCTTCTGTTGAATATATTTCTTTTCTTTCCCAAGTTTTTTGTATTAACAGCCAGATTAACATTTCTATGATCAAACTTTGATAAAAAAAATTCGAGATTGACTTAATATTAACAATGATGCTGAAAGAAAAGATGTATAGAATTAGAAAAGATGTAGAGAAAAAGATTATGAAAATACCATTATAACATATATGTTGTCAACCTCACCTGATTACGCTAGTCTTCCACGTTTAAAATACTGAAAGCGTAAGAAATTTTATATAAAAAATCTTTTGTGATAAGAACTTTTTAATCTTTTTTCATTTTTAGTTACAATGATTAATGATTGCAGCCATTGTTTGCCCCAATTATGTTTCGTGTACCTACGGGTACCTCATGCGACAATATACTGTGGGGCTGCATTCCATGAACGTTGCTCTACGTATTTTTTTATATCTTATTAAGAGTTATATCATTTTATTCTCTATAATCTCTCTGGGAGACAAAATTACAAAAACAAATATTAGTTTCCGCCAAGAGAAATAAGTGAAACTTGGAAATTGTAAATAAGGGATAAGGTGTTTTAAGTTGTTAATAAAAGACATTAGCTTGTGTTTCTCATCTAAAACGTTTTCAATGCTAGAAAAAAATCTACGGTGACTGTGAAGCAAACAATTTACAAATTACAACAGTCAGTGATTGGAAGTAATACTTATAATACTAAGTTTAACATTTTGATCTAGATCCATGCATTGAGAATATATTTTCTATTTATTTAATAATTTTGTGTTTAACATAATTATTTTCCTGAGCATGATAATTCGGTACTATGTGTATATCGTGAGTATAGCAAACATTCTTGGCAAAAGTTACAGCGAAAGATTGTACGGAAAAGAAAATTAAGCTGAAAAACTTACACGTGAAAAAGAATTAAGTTTGTATCATAGCAATGTGCTAAAACCAGGAAGACGTTTTTGATACATTATTCTAATGCTAGAAAATTTTAATTAAGTGAAAAATTACAATATGGTAATAATTGTTTTCAACTACCAGTATAATATTCCCATCGTTATATCCTTTTTTGATTATAACCTGTAGAATCATGTTCTGAAATGGCAATGTTTTCCTAAAATACTTCATCTAATTAGCTTTGCCCTCAGCCAGGCAATATTAGTGATTAGATCATATCAAAGATAAAAAATACTAGAGCGATATTCGCTTAAATTGTTAAAGCATGCAACTTGAAATACTGGTTCTGTCATTACCGGCAATACATGACATGTAAAGTATACGACTTCACTGTATTTATTAAAGTTTTAAATAATAGTACTTGAATATCTTATCAAGAATATAATTTGGATATACCAGAGACTTAGATAACAGAGACAGGGAACTTCCTAGCCAGTTTAGATATCACGCGTACTTGCTAAACTTAACACTTGTAGCAAGTAATATCAAAATCAGTAAAATAATACATTTTTAAAGGTAATAACATTTACAGTTCCAATTTAAATAAATAATTCATAAATATATAAAGAGAACTACTGATTAACTTTTTTACAGAACAATTCATATGATGAAAAAACTGGCTCAGTGGGTAAGTTCTGCTATGCTTTTCTTGTGAAAGGCATGGAAAGTTATCAATATTTTAACATGCAGCAATAGATAAAAGATTTAATTTTCAAATGGTGTATAATATTAAAGGATCAAATCTACATCCATTAAGTTTTACTTGCTACAAAATACCTAATTTTTCGCTTTTTGATAGGCATGAGTGAAATATAGGAGCTGCTTATCTCTGTTATCTATATCACTCAGTATCTAAAGGGCTTACATGATACATAACGAGGTGGTGAACTGACCACAACAAAATCAAGTGATAATTCATTTAATAAAATATATTTACCTGGGTCACATAACGGGTCACTGAAGCAATCATCAATAAAACTGGCCAATGTTTTGTACAATGAGGCCTTTCCTGCTTTTGTTCCTAGATGGGAATACATGCAAGGGAAACCGGAACAGCCTCGTCTCTGAACATCTCCAGCCTCAGAATCTGGAGCCGCTATCCTGTTAAAAAAGATAACTTAAATGATAACTAGTCTTTAGTATCAAACTCATTTCATTATGTTGTCTTATTCTATACGTGACATTTTATAAAGCTTTTTATGCTCCTTTTACATCATTTTTATGACACTATGCGAATTTAGGTGGGAATAATAATCTTATATATAAATATAGACAATATAATTATTATTTCAAAAGAAAAAAAAGAATTGTTTTAGTTTATGCTTATTCAATTCCCTTCTAACCTTTACATAGTCTGTAACATATATTTCTAACTATTCATAAAGTATATGTCATCCTGTCTCAGTTTTATCTAGATTTTGTCTCATGCTAATATCGCAAAAGTAACTTTAAAAACATACACTTTTAAATGAGGTGATGGTTAAAAAACGGTGGTAAAGGTGTCCTAGTCAAAAATTTGAATTTCATATCCACGCAGCTTGTGGAACGGAAGTTGGAATGGTGTACGAATAAAGCATATAAATTGAATAACAAAATAGCTTACAAAATATCTGTTGCGCATGTTATGTCACATGAATAAGAAATATACTTAGACTTTCAAGGAAATTATACATCTGTATCTTTTTACAGTTACACCATAAATTCTCCTTATAAAAGTAATGCACTGTTTCCAATTCATCAAACCTAGTTCTGCTATTTAATTAACCAATCATTTGCCAATAATTCATAAAGGAAAGATGTATCTCTTATTTCTTATATTCTGGAAAAGATTTTAAAGGGTATAAAGCTTCATCTTATGAAGCATTCTATAAAACTTATCTACAGTAAAGTTATATTGGTTCTATGATCAAATGGTCGATTCTCCACAAAGTTGTAACATAGAATGCCTGAGAATGCCTCTGTTTATCTAACACACATGAATATTTGTACATAAAGAGAATAAAATGTTTCGGAACAAAATATTATTCTGCTACATTAAGCAGGGATTTATCCGTTTAGCAATGATTTCGTGCATGCGTAATTTGCTTTTAAGGTAACTTACTACAATCTTTATTTCCTACTGGCATTTTGGAATTATTCTTTTTTTTTAAATTCAAGCAATGTTTTTTTTTGCAGCATTTATGTATACATTTATACACTTAAATAAATCTATTTTTTCTTATATCTTTATGCATCGGATGTCGTAATAATTATAATACAATTATCACATCACCAAATTTATTTCATAAATGGGCATGACATTGAGTTAATGACGACTTATTTTCCCTCTTTTAAATAGGAGACAAATGTGCTTATTCTAAACGCACTACCAGATGATATACCTTCGTATAAAAGTTGAGACATCAATGATGACTTATTATCCCCCTCATTTTATTTGAGACAAATGTGTTCAATTCAAAATGCACTAAAAGATGATGTACTTTCATATAAGATTAGGCATCAACCTCGCTGACTTGTCTGCATGTTATATAGATATAGAGCAGACAATTACATGGATGCAGCGTGATATTCCCCTAGAGAATTTTGACATATATTGCGATCTCTAATTCTCGGCCACTTTGCTGCCATGGCTCGTCACATTATAGAAAACGTTTCACCTGGTGCTCATACATGATATATATATAATAACGATAAATATGGCTCTAAAGATGAGAAAATTGTTATTACATCAAACCCCTTTCCCACCTCTTTATCATTTACAGATTATCAACATTACAAACCTTGCCAAATCAATATCTATGATAAATGTTTGTTAAAAAAATCCACACAAAAACACACACACAAAACGTAACACATGCACATTTTATTAAATAAAATCGGAAAAAGGTGTGATCCTCGGAAGCAAGGAAATAGGGAGAAATAGAATCCCTAACGAAAGTCCAAAACGGCAAAATTGAAAATGTTGCAGACTGGGTTTGAGCCTGTTCATGGATGGACAGTACTGGAAAGTGCAAGTCACTGTCCACAATACACAAGATAAATATTCTTTGCAAATTGCAGACTCGTTTTGATCGAATCTGTTCATAACAGATGATATAAAATAAGCAACATTTGTCAGGCCGCCTAGCACCCGATTAAGCTATATTCTTGAACACGATATCAACAATAATATACTATATTATCTGAAATACAAAGAAAGAGTGATGTTGTCAGATAGAGTAAAACTCAATAGCTGTTGTCCAGATTGAGTGAATACTACTTTGTTTCAGCTAAAACACATAAAAAATCCAAATGTAAATAGTGAAGAGTATGCATGTATATAAATTGTTTAATTGGTAACAACTAACAAGTAAAATGGTTTCCTGCGGGGAACATTTATAAAGATTTAAAGATATTTCATTTAACTATTTTCAACATGGTTTGGGAAAAAAAATTAACGTTTGTATCAGGAATGTAGTTGACAATAATCGATCAATAGAAGACATGGAAGAAGGTCTTTGATCTTGGTCGAAAATAAAACAATATTTCTGTTTAAGAAAATGATTAAATACCATTGTATGAATAATTCAGTGCAAAAACTAATAATATAGAATAAAGTAAACACACAAGTTTACGCAGAAAATACCTCTATCTATTCTGGCAGATGCCACAAACGAATGTTTTAATTCTGTGGATTTTCACTTTAAACAATTTATTGTCTGTAAAATTTCAGATAGATATTAAAGAAACAATTATAATTTTCAAACACATCATGCAAGTTTTTCCACCTTAAACGGTAAAATAATAATAGAAAATTAGAAATATCACGTAATAGTGTTATGTTCTTAATTAGGTGTAATTCGGACTAATTCCCTAGCATTGTGTACACCGGTCATTTGAGAGACCGGTGTGTATACAATGATTCCCTAGAGGTAAATCCGTAACGTACCGGCAAACGGTATTTAGCTAGGTTTTCGAATAGGTCAATTAACCAATCATGTACGGTTTACAGATCAGATGCTCCTCCATGTACCGAAAACAGGTCACGTGCTCCTCCATGCCTCAAAAATTAAACGCGTACCAATATCGGAGCCCGCAGGGAATAAAATGTGCTTTAAAATGGAGACAAATTTGAAGTCGATTTAGTCGCGATGCCGCATTAGAGGCCTGGTAGGTATACTGTTAATTTTGCTCAATGAATAAAGAAAGCAAATATGTATTTTGTACTTTTGAAAGTGCCCTAAATAACGGTGTGGTCCTATTTGTGGCGTGGTCATTAGGTGGTATTTTAATGTATTTGTTGTTATATTTTTTTTCTAATTTGGTAATGTCTTTGAAGAAAGGAAAGGATAATAAAAAGGGTATGTCTGCATTGAAAACTGGCTTTGTTTTCATTTTTTCATGAAGACATTTTGTCGATGTTCATTTAACATTGATAAAACGAATTTGGAACCTAGAACAAATAACCCAGTGGCAATATGAAAACCACTAGTAGAAAGTCAATACTTCTCAAATCTTTCATTCAAACAATGGTCTCCTAACTGGTATTGTAGACCAATATTTCATGTAAGTACCTATATTTAGTTGCCTTTTTGGCAATTTTATCGACAAATGTTACATTGATCCAGCTCTGGTAGTGGCTATAATTAACGCATTGTTTCCAGAATATTGGAATTTCAATCATTTATCATAGTGGTTGCGTTTATACTTCCTTCTTTTCAACTTCCTATATTTTTTTTAAAAATCGCAGTCTATATGATATTTGTTTATATACATGTACATGTATTTATGCAATATATATATATATGTGTATTTATATATACTTTGCGTATATATCTCCTCATATTTGTCATATGGTTATTTAGACTTCGTGTTGATGAAGTTCAAGAAATTAGATCTGGCATACTTGATGTTTTTAATATAAAAAAGTGATCGTTTTGTTTGTTTGTTTCTGATTGCTGGGATATAATGATACGTACACAATGTTTCAAGTATTTGACTACTACAGAAATGCTTCATAACGATTTTAATAAGCGAACATTTTGGAATATTTGATAAATTTGGCATTGCTACATTGCTATAATCTTATATATTACGGAGGAAATAAATCGAACTGGAAAATAAATTATGTTTCTTTATTTATCGAACAAGTAGTAAAATATTATTGTTAAATGATGATCAAACCATCCTTTTAGTTATAAAATCAACTTAAACCGCAATAAAAATATATGTAAGGGTAATTCAAAGATTATCTCAATTCCTATATTGCGTGCACGATTTTCTTGGGGAATCTTGTTTAAGAACAATATTTCCCAATAACCCAGTATCTATGAAATCAAATATCCAATATTTTATTATTATCAACAAACAAATGTTTAATGCGGATAAATACACTTAAAGTAATAACTTTGAAATACTAGACGGATTTTAAGAATGTTATGTTCTATGTATATCAATGTAAAAAATTTCTGTTTTACAGTTGATTAAATGAAATAATTCATCATTATAGTTATAACTTCTAGATGGCATTAAATACCATATGATAATAGTGAATAAAGAACTACTTCAGGTCTTCAAACAAGACTATAATGAAAATATTTGGATAGATTGAGCATCTTGGTGAGCAACCGTTACCAACCTTCCCCCTACCCCCACCCCAACTCAAGGAATGACCGATATCACAGAATAATGCATTATCAAATTGCAGAAAATGATACACGTTAAATGGCATAAGAATAATTTATTCACACGATGAAAATTATACGGAATAAATGGTCTATTGTGAATAAATAAGAAATACATAATATATAATTGTGTTGGTCTAAACCAGTTAAACTTCAGCTTTTTCATCAAAAATGAAAAAAAAAAATCCGATAGTATTTAAATAATGTTTAAACTCTCGATGGAAAAATATATAACTTTTGTTTATGTATAAAGCACCTTATAAATATCGTTTAAACGCTTCAATTTCAAAGCACACAACATAATGGAATAACAATTTAGAACTATTTATATTCCAACGAATAAATTTTATCTTTCACAGCTTAATTAGCATTGTATCAAGAATAGAAGCCACGAGGCCTACAGCATCTGCTGGGGAA